AAAAAATAGCTGATTCTGAATCCTAATTTGGTTATATTTATCTGATTTTAGCGAAGCTTCCAGTAAGATTACTTAGATAGTTTCTAGGGTTCCATATGATTTTAATTGCGCGGCAAATTTAGGGGAGGCCGCCGTATTAATCAGGAATGATAATTGTTCAGGGGGGGGGGCCCTATCATTAAACAGGGTGCAACATTAGCCGCCTCTAGCCCCAACTTACACACTGAATCTGTCTATGCATCCCTTCAACATCTTGTGGCTACTTTATGCCGTGCTTGCTGCTTGCACTGAGGTGGCCCGCCACTCGGCAGGGCCGATGGCTTGGTGTAAGCACCTGTGGCCGTGTGCTAACCAGAGCATGCTGCCAAATGACTCTGTGAGACCCTCGGGATGCGCCTGGTCTTGCGAGAGAAGCCTGACCAGCTTATTGTAAACTTTAAACTGCAGTCATCTGCATTCCCTACTAGGTATGTCAAGTCGCCCTGGAGAGATGTCATGCATCATGGAATCTCCCACTCAGACTCCTGCGATACGCACAAGGGAGGTCTCCGCGAAACACAACCTGAGTGCACAGCACTTATCACTTATCACGCTACCGAGCCAGCAGCTCCAAAAAGTGGAGACGACCTGAGCCTCCCACTCTCCAGCCGGATTGACCTAGCACTCACATGATCAAACCTGCAACCTGGCGTGCCTTTTTAGGCCACAGTTGCTGCGTTGTTGCAGAGGCCGCTCTTGCTGTCTCACCTCTTGGAGGCTACTCAGCCAAACATGCTCCCTGCACTGGGCAAAGCAAATCTGTACAATAGAGCCTTCGCTTTGATGACTTCCACCGAGTGTCTCTGCAGTCAGAAGAGTGATCTGTAGGTTTTGCTTTTTGGGCAAAGTGGGAGGAAAATGGGTCTTTGGGTTGGAGCCAAGCAGCATACCTCCAGATCACTCAAGCTGCAGCTTGACACTCTTCGCTAACTTGCGGCATCAAACCGGCGAGGATTGCTCACCTACGATTCTTGTCAGCTTCTATGCGATCGACTTCTTCGTCTCTTTGAAGAACTGGTCAACTTCTCGTCTAATTCTCTGCACATGTACATCAGAAGCCCACCATGTCTCCAGAAGAGCATGGATCCTCTCCAGGTCAGAGGCCTGCGACTAGCAACGGCATGCAGGCTGTCAAGATTTTCTTCGGGAGGCGTTTCAATTCCCAGGCCTGCGCCACCCGCAAGATCGCCTGTCACAAAGCTTTGTCTCGGGCTCTCAAGCCGCATGAGTGACTACTCGTCATGTTGAAGATTTGACTTTCAGGAACGCCTTTGACAACGACTGTGACAACGACTTTGGGGCCAGGAAACCTCTTCAACTCTGGTTTTCCTCCACCTTCCAAGCTTTCGCCCTGCTCAAGTAGTTGCGTTTTGTCTTATTGTTTATCGGAGCTCCAACCAGCTGCCTCCAGGGCCTGCTCGCGGACTGCGGCGTCCTCGTGTCCCGCCTGCCATGCTGCTGCCTCCAGGGTGCGGCTGTGGCCGGATCCTGCAACCAGCAACTGCCGCAAATTCGCAACTTCCACAAGAGTTTCACGCACTTTTGTGGTACTGGCATTCTGTGTGATGGTGATGACCCGTCCATGCATATCAGCCCTCCAATAGTGCCTGCTGTCAGCGCAGCACACTCCAAAGCCAGACGGGTGTGTTCCGCTGGAAGCTTCGGTAGCTCAGCGACAGCAGCCCTCAGAAGTCTGTCTAGGCAAGGCCCAGTTGATGTGTGACACCCGTTTTTCCCAAGACACTGGAACGCATTTAACAGGCTGGTTCCATGTCATGCTGCTTGTTCCAGGATTCAGCTTCTCCAGACTGCATGGGCCAGTAGCGAAGTCCCAAAACTTGTAACTTAGTGATCCTTTGCATTTCTGGTATGTTGATGCTGCGCTGGTCTTGTTACTTCTATGCTAAGGTTCAGCTGGCTTTGCATTTGCAAGACTGCATGCAGAACGGCTAGCTGCGCCTGCCAAAAAAGCCCTTCATGCACGTGCTTCATCCTAGCATTGTCTCATCGAAACCAGCACCCCCCCTCAATAGATCATTTGGGCTGGGGGGTAATGCTGTCATAACGTGCGCTGTAGTCCACATTCGCTGCTGCTGGGCGGCCACATGCTTGCATCATTTGGATCATCTGCGTCCCCAAGCGCACCATCAAGACCTCCTCGAAGAAAAGGGGCTACGCTGCGTATGCTGACCTAGGCACTTCCAGGTACAGAGCAACCGTAATAGAGCAAACTTTAACACAATTTGGCCAAGTCGCTGCCAAGAACATCTGCTTGCATGATGTGAGGCCCAGAAAGATTCCACTCTTGTTGACCCACGTGATTTCTAGGCACCTCTGGAGCTCATCCACTGAAATGCCCCTCTCAGCAGCAACTTGCGGAAGCTCCGGGGGTGCATTCATGCTTGCCAGGCTGTCTGAAAGGTCTGTGCACTCTATCACAGTCCGATACATCCAGCCAGGCTTTAGACGTCGAGCAGTCTTCAAGTAGCATCCCAAAGTTCTCTGTGCCATGACCAGGGGATCATTCACAAACTGAAGCTGTTTGCTCTCTCTTGGTGCTGGCCGCTTGGGCAGCGGGGTCCACCTTGCCAAGTGCCCCAAGAGATCATTTAAGAGGGAAGCCTCTGAGTCACTGGCTCCTGAAGGCAAGCGTGGAAACGTAGAGTTTTGGGTGAAGCGCCGAGCAATCGCCATAGCTGCTTGGCTCTGCAGCTCCAAATTACCGCTGGCCAAGGCCCTTGCCAGAAATAGAGCTGCTTCAGCTTCCCCCAGACCCTTCAACAATAGCTTGAAGGCAACCTCTCTCAGGCCGAAGCGATGGAAATGCAACATCCCCACGTAGATGGCTGTCGCATCGCTACACTGCTCTAGGAGCTGTAGCATCGCACCATAATCTCCAGGACCGTCTGCAGCAGTGAGGCAAAGGCCCCGACAATGGAAGACTTGCATGCACAACTCGATCTGCTCCCCCTCATTGCAATATGTAGACACTTCCGAGTCGTCCATAAGCTCCACTGCACCGTTCTTACCTCAAAGGGCCAAAGAGGAAGGGGGAGCCAACATGATTAAATGGCAGAGGATGTCTTCCAAATCAGAATCACAACAGCTGCACGAGGCAGCCCTGCCTTGCAACAGCAGCACTTGCCAATCCGTTGGTATTTGGCACTCCAGTTCGATGCCTTTGCTGTTGATTCCAATGTTGCTTTCTGCGGATTTGAAAGCGCCACCCTCGTTTTGCTAGGGGGTGATTCCTCTTGCAGGAGCCGCACACGGGAGCTTGTTAAGTCTCCGACCCTACATGCTTTCTCCGCCGGAACTTTCTGATGAGTTGGATAAGTAGTGTCCACATCTCAAGTCAAATGTCAGCAGAGCAGCGCTGCTTCAGCGCTTCAACTTTCTCTGTCGGTGGCAAGTCGTAACGGAGTGTCTGTCCTGTTCACAGCAGGTGTTCCGCTCACTGAACGGGATAGTGGCTTGCGTCTCCTGATAAGCGGACCACACTGACCTCGATATCCTCTGTGCCAGGTTTAGTCCACCCAGCTACCTTGGAGGACCCGCGCAGGCCTCAGACTGCTTTCAAAGCTGAAGTTGTGTGCAGGTCACGCAGGGGATTGTTCCTGAAGCCGGCAGCCACGCAGATGAACGGCAGCTAGCTGAGTCTGACTCTGTGCGTGGCCAGCTGCAAGCCCCACATGCTTCAGCTGAGTCACTCTGAAGCCAGGCTTGCCGTTCTTCTTCCTGCGAAGGTACAAGCAATCAGCTTAAAACACAGGCCTCATCAAGGCACGATGCGACTAGAAAGCCTCTGGGAGGCCCAGCCCACTCAGCAGCTCATCAAAGGCCAAGAAAGGCCTCACAAGCAAGGCTCCTGCTTGCGACACCAAGCACGCCTTGCTATAATCGCGTTTACAAGAAGTTAAACAAAAAGACCAACAAAAAGGAAACTCACCGGGAACAAAACATCTTCTAGAATTAGTCTCTTGCTATGTGGCCATGCGGCCTGCGGTCCAACCGCTCGGCCCAGTTTTTTGCCTTCCAAGTGCGTCTCGGTGCACAGCTGTTGACGCAAAAGCAATGGTACGTAAGGATGCAGCATGCTTGGCAAGGTTGCCGCCTCAAAGACTAAGCGCCTCGTCTGGAATGGCTCCTTTGCCAGCAGCGGGCTTGCATCCAAGAGGGAGGATGTTAACTGGCAGATTCCGGCAGAATTGCTCCTGACTTAAATATTGTATGTCTCAGCGGGTGCGCAAACAGTTCAGCGCGAATCCTGGTGGGTATCAATCTCCATGGCGGTGGCGGAACCCACCTCCACTTCAGGCGACCACGTCTGGACCTTTTCATCGCACGTGGTTAGAGCACCGTTCATTCAGCAGCTGGCCATGTGTTCGCCCTTCTTTTAAAGCTTTGGTGGTGACAAGGTTTCCCCCTCGCCGCTGCTTCCAGTGCCATGCAACATCTCAAAAAACAATGAACTTGACCGTTGGCTTTCCTTCCTCATTTCCTTCATTCAGCCTATAATGGATGCCAGCTCGTAAATTGCGATCTCTCTGCTTCTTGTCCATTTGGCTCTACTACTGCAACTCTCATAAGGAGAGATATCGGGGCAGTGCCCCGAGCCCGAGCGTCCACACGATCCACTGGTCCACCCAGCGAGGCACGGAGCTGTCAAAATGGAAGCCTATACAAATTCACATTAGCAAATACTATAATATACTGTATTATTCTATAATGGGTGCTAGCGGACACTGTGCAGCAAGGAAAGAAATGTGTGGCATGTAGCTTAACTGCGCACGGCAAAAGTTTGAGCGCTTGTCCTTCTCCAATGGGGCGTTGAGGCTTAGGTTCCCCCATCTCTCTCTCCCCTTCTTCTTCTTCTTCTTCTTCTTTGGGCCACGCGCTACCCCAGGCTAGCGCCGGGGCTGTAGCCCAAACTAACTGGTCCGCACCGGAGAGAGACAGGACGCTGCTGTAAATGCAGGCTCCGAGCTTTAATGAACTTACGATCCACTACTGCTCTCTCTTTGTCTTGTTGTTCTAGTTTTTGCTTTCTGTACCTTTTTTACTTTGACTTTGAGTGCGGGCGTGAGGGGCTACCCCCCCAGGCATCAATGCCAGCATGAGAAGTCTGTTGCTCTGGGTTGGCATGCGGAACCTACGTAATGCGACCGGATCTCAGAAACAACAGCGTCTCATAATCAGGAGGGGAAACAACAGCAGGTGGTCTCCACTGCGACGATATAATATCACAGAGCTGCAATATGGCAAACAAGTGGTTTCGTTACATGCACATGACGATTCGATTCCCCCAAACAAAGATTCACGCATGCGACTTTTTGGACCCGCTCTCCCTCCCTCTCCACCAACGAAGTGATGTGGACATATGTATATATGCATACATGTATGCATGAAGAGTTGCCCTCTTCAAACCATGAAACCATACACATGGTCTCCGTGGGATGGCCTTGGGCCAGGTCTTAGCCGCCGCTGGTTTCCGGGCCGCAGGCTTGGCTGGCGGAGGGGGTGGCCGCTTCCCCTTGCCCGTCCCTGTACTGGGAACAAATGCAACATCTAAGTAGCACATAGAGCATGAACAGCTCAATCCACTACAGTAACTACATGGTGCCATAATCTGGGCCTTTCCCTGCCATGGCCATAGCGAGGCTTGGCACTTTGGATGAGCAGGCGGAGGCTGCAACGGTGACTTGCTGCATAGCTACGGCATTCACGCAACCAAGCCACAGATTGCCTTTGCTGTGAACTAGTTTCTTCTGAGCACCTACATCCACCTACCAGTGAAAAGAGGCCAGGCTGCCCGAGGCCCGAGCTGTCACAGGTCAGCTTCAGGCAACTTAGGTGTCCGTCATGCCGGAACCACCTACAGCAAAGCCACGCGGCGGCATCCCTTGGAGATGATGGTGCTATGCTTCTTGTTGTGCCATACTGCAAGGTTACAAGGCCAGGGCCATGTGCAGGAACCAGCGAACAGGCTCATCACGTGGTTGACGCAGGTACCTCACCAAACGCTCATTACGGCCTATCAGCTCACAAGTGCAATTCAAACACAGTATCCAGCTGAACCCAGCTCTCCCTTTTAGGCGGGTACCATCCTCAGAGGCACATGTGTGAAGCTGCTGATGTGGAGGTTCCTCCATCGGCCTCACATCATCACACAGTGTGTTCGTGCACAACAAATACTCACAAGACACCATGTACATCCTGGCCCTGGCACTTACAATGCTATTCCAGGAAGGTGGAAAGACACCAGCCAGATTGAGGGGCAAGGCTGATGGCACAACATGAATTGAAATTTCACCCTGGGTGCATCGCGGCCGAACCCCGATCTCGTACCACTGCGGAAACCTCACTAGCAACCGTTGGCTCTTGGCATGTCGTGAAACAATTGAAAGTCAGGAACGCAACTTCCAAAGTCTCTGTGGTCAGGGCTTGCCCAGGCTGTCGCAAACCGTATCCACTTCACCACCATCCTCCCAACGTGCCTGAGGCTACTTCATCGCTGCAGCTTCAACGTTGCAACCGTGCAGTTGATTTAGCGCGGACTGCCCTAAATTCAGCTTTGGCCTTTGCCATAAGTTTGAGTTAGAGCACAATGAGCTCCGACTTTGTCTTGGTCTCTGCCAATGCACCTACTGTAATCCATCACGGCTCGCCAGTGTACATCGTAGGACTTAAGTTCTTCAACTAAGGTTAACAGACTGAATTTGTAACTCAAAGCAGCATTGCAACGGTGTGGCACAGGATCACGTCCTTTTTTGATCTTTTTTGGTGCAGTTTTGCAGGTCTCGAAGCTTTCGCGTGGCCAAGCGCGCGATGCCTCGGCCATAAAGAGCTGGTAATACCCAATCTTGGCCATATTGGAGCATATATTGGGGTCATATTGGGATAACGGAAAATAAAAATATCGGGATTATAAAGGGTTTAGGCGCTACTGATCAGAAAAACAGCACAAGACGCAGCATGAGCCAAAACACGGCAGTTTCTGTTGTTTTTGCCATTGAATTCAAGTCACAACACACTGCCCCATGCCACCACCACTGACCTGCCTGGAGTCTACCTCTTGTACTCTTTCCAAGTAGCTGAATGGACATGAGGTAGTTCGCTGCACAGACCTGCCACTGCAGGGTCATACTCAGAAAATCTTTTGCAGCGTAGCACCATTACACTTGGATGTGTCAGATGGTAGTCAGTATGTTGCACCCTTGATCATTTCAGGAAGCGAAAGAGCCAAGGAACCTACAAACTCCCCTTTTACAGCTTGGCTCCGTGAAGGGCCCCGGTGTCTAAGTGAGACCTTTGGGGAGCTTGCTGGTTGAGCCTGGCTGCAAGCCACAAGCGCAGGAAAAGCTCTGCCTGCGTGGTTTAGGCTTTGGGGTTTAGGGTTTATCGTTTGGGGTTTAGGGTTTAGGGTTGAGGGTTTAGGGTACAAATCCACCCTGTGACCAGGCCAGGTATCAGGGAACATGCTCTGCCTTCCGCTGTCGCTGACTGCCGGACCATCGCAGAGAGGCCCCACACGCATGGAGGGCCAAGAGGTTGCCTGGCACAGTTACAAAGGGGCCTTGCATGCATCAAGTCTCTGCCGTGCCACTTCAACTTGCTTGGAGGTGGCTGCCAGTTCACAGAGTGGATTCGCGTCCCACAGGCTTTGCCGAAGGATCTTCTTTACATAGGTCTGCGACGTTACGGCTTCAGGCACTGCTTTGATGTTTGAACCGGGCAATTGAACATGGAACTGCTGCGAAGCCTGAGCCTTCAGCCTCAACACCAAAGGACAGGCAGTCGCCGCGGGAACACAGTGCCTCGCAATACTCTGCATGCAGCGAACTTAGCAGGTGCCTCAGCTTATGGCTTTTCTCACCTATGGGGCAGCTCTGTATTGGTGAATTGTGCGCATGCCACATCTCTCCACAGCTGTCCTGGGCTTGATCCTTCAGAACTTGGCCCAAGGGCGCGGTAGGCAACCTCACAAACACGGGCTACGGCATCGCAGTGTGATTTCCACATGATATGCCCCTTGCACGCAGCCTGCATGTAGGCACTTTGTGATGAAGGACTGCAACACAGAGTGTCGCTGACAGTTCTGACTAGGCACAGGTTCGTCACCACCACGCTGCGAGCACGAAGGAGACCCCTGGCAAGTGCCTGCGCATTTTGTTCCGCATCACTTTCCACTTCTGTAGGGCCGATCTTACCAAACCAGTGGCCCTGAGTGCAAAAAGGTTCTGGCTTGGGTTTACCTGTGCCAAGCCATAGATACAGATCTCAAGGGTCCAGCTAAGCTGCGAGGGATATCTCGGAATTGGCTGAAGTGAATGCGGACGGAACGTTGCCGTCCACGTCGTACGCATCGATGACTAATGCATCATATTGGCCCTCAAGGAAATCTGCTTGTGTTCCTCAGCAGCAGAAGCAAACACTTGCTTACGTTTGCGCGGTGGCATCATGAAGGCACAGGCATTGGGACTATTGCCGAGCTCTACCTACATCCTTCACATGGACAGAGGGGGAGCAGAGTAAGGAAGCAATAATGCCCGCAAGTGCCAATCGCAAACAGCCCAGCAGGATGTTTGAAGCGATGAGCGATCCAGAATTCATCGTTCCACGCGCTTTTCTAAGTCTGGACAAGAAGCCCTCCATGTTCTTCACGGCCTCGCTCGCAAAGCTTGCGCCATCTTGCAGGTGCAGTGTGATCCGTGGATGCGACTGAAAGCCCATAGCATCCGCAGCATCAAGCACTGTTGGCTCCAATTCGACCACGTCTACCGAGCAATGCGGAATCATTTCGACCAAGAAGGCGGGAACGCTCCCGCCCCCAAAACCAATGCATAGGATCCGAAGACAGCCCCCAGTTTGACTCTGGCAGACCGGCGCGCCAACCAATTCAAGAGCTGTCAGAACAGAACTTGCTAAAGATTTCGTGTATGGCATGAGCAAGCAGTTGCGGTTGTGCTCTCTTTGCTCGCCATTGGTGTCAACAGAGATCCGGTTGATCGCCTGACCATGCCCAAAAGCCAGAACACGCGCCAACGACACCCCCATCTAGCCTGGATCAGATCGGAAGACCGTGTCTCGGGAACGAAGCGCAGAACTCGCCACTCCTCACGTTTTCAGAGGAGGTGAGGTGCCGTCTGGCTGAACCAAACTGGTGGCAACAGGCCAGCAGGAGTCTACCATGACTCTTTCTTCATGGAAATGAGTTCCTCCTGACGTCCTGCACCCATCCAGGAGGCAAAGCTTTGGCTGGCGAGGCCCGGTGCGCTGTTACCTCGATTAGCAGCATGACGCAACCAGGCGGGCAGGGGTTGATTAACGCATTTCAAACGCACAGACCGAGTGGCCTGAAGCTCACCACCTGTAGGTGTCAGGGAAACATCATACTGTACCGCAGTACTGCACTCGCTGCAAAGCAAGCCTGATTTTAATTCTCAAAAAATGGCCTTGCGAAAGAGACTGCCGCCGGAGCAAGCGGCCAGGCATCAAAGCCTCATGGATCAAAGCCTGGCCAGGCCGTTGTAAACCTGATAAACGAAGCAGCCAGCTTCCTGCCCGCCTCGCGACCTGGGTCGCTGTCAGCACGCTGAGCTGCGGCCGCAGCGCCCAGCACCTCGATGGAGCCCCGAAAGTCAAGGAGAACATTAAACGATAGCCAATGGGGCATTCCGGGCCGTGCGCGAGTTGAGCAGCATGCTGAGCATGCCTTTCTCCTTTCTCCTCTCAGCCCAGCACCGCAGCGGCGCCACCACCGCGGCGGCCCAGGCGGGCCAGGCGCCGGTTTACCAAGCGAGAAGCCATGGGCACAGAGCTGGGATTCCGGGATCATGTGCAAGTAGTTTGGAAGTGCGGGCAGCTGCACGACATTGCACGACACTCATGGGTGCCAGGCTGTGACTAGAAAATCCCTTCCATCATTACTAGCATCCACGACAGCTTCATTGGCAATTTCTGGGACTAACAAAGTGCAGTCCTGAGTCCAAACGCAGCAGACGCGGCAGAACCATTTCGACAAGGTACAATTCCAGAAGGATGGCGCGAAAGACAGACACAGCCGATGTACTTGGTGAGAATGCGATTTCGTCTTTTCGTTGAGCTATGCAGCTAACTTCAAAGAAGCCAAAGAGTCAACAGTACGTAACGTAAACTGTGACCGCTGCAAGGCAATGGCCAAATCGAAATACTGCGCTAATCCAAGATGACCGTGCAGGTTTCCTGCAGGTCTATAGTCCCCCTTAAGTAGATAGAATATGGGGTATATGGGGATTTTATTAAAATATACCCAAAGCCATATTCTATCTACTTAAGGGGGACTGTAGCCTGGCCTTGGCGTTGTCTGCCAGATTTTTGTGCTTGGGGGACTTCGAGACTCCGCTGTGAGTGCACTCTGCTTCATTTGTACTAAGTGTTTGTGGCGTTGCAATTAGGATGTCCTCGATGATCTATGCAAATCCTAGGACAAGCCAAGGCATCAAAGACTATTCATCTATCCGGAACTGCCCACCCGTTTGGGTTCGACAACTTCTTTTGTGACGTCTGAACAGGGCAAGAGATGACCAGCAGCACTCCAGGCTTTCTTCGCGACAAAAGAAGTGATTGTTTGAAGGATCGCTTGCCCTCGACGCCTCATAACACTTGAGGTGTAGCAAGGCTACCCTAAAGTCTAGAATCAAAAGACTGTGCAGATTTCTGCGGCGGAAGACCTGTAAATTATTGGGCCAGATTTTGCTGATCTGAGCCTAATGTGCATATCCCGTCTTTGGCTGTGCGGAGGAAGCTTGCTGCTGGCTTTGTGTCACTCTTGAGGCTGCTATCAAGTGCTTTGCATCCCTCTAATTACAGTAACTTGTATCAACGTGTTTCGAGTAAGGGCAGATTCCTCACAAGCCAAACGCCGGAGGGTCCATTACCACATGCAGCTGTTCACTGGCAGCCGCACCTCGGGTGACTCGACGTCCACTGCTGACACACTGCCGTCCTTGGCCAGGAGAAAACAATGGAGCTTTCGTCTAAGCTCCTAGTATGCCCCTTCACAACCCCCATAATAATACTCCCCTAGACCCCCGCTAAGGAGTTTAGGCTATAGCTCATTTGAACCTGATCACTCTTGCAGGAAATGCCTGCTCGTTTTCTGATGGGTCCCTTGGCTGCCGAGTGGCATGCTCCAGGTGTACAGCTGCAAAGCCAGCTTGATTGATGTAAGCACCGCCTTGGATCAATTTGTTGAAAGCTGCCCAAGAACAAGTACATCCCGATCCCACTGGCAACGGCCGCCATGGCACAACAGCCACCGCCGCCGCCGGACAGAATGTCAACACACATGCCAGAAGTGTCCTGCACATATCGGATGCAAAAAAGCTTGGGCATAGCCTGCAATATGGTGCGGTTGGTGCAGCCATGGCATGACAAGGGTCTGAGTCCTGCTTCTCACATGTCTGCGTATGAACGTGCCCATATGTGCCTCGGCTGCGCAGCGCCAGTCTCCAAGCAGAAGCGGAGAAGGGGTCTCCCACTGCTTTTGAACGTAACACATCCCTGAGCTCGCTTTCTCCGGCATTTTTCTGCTGAGGAACAGAGCACCTTGACCTTACCCCTTCGCGAGACCGGCAGCGACTTCTCGAAGAGATCTCTTGGGCATAGATTTGGATAATGTTGTATGATCAGTACCTGAGACTGCGCAAATCCGCAGAGATGTGTGTGGAGCAAATAAGCAAAGAACACTTGGAGCATCACTTGCTTTGCCACCAAGTTGTGCTTAGGGGCAGTTGCAGCCTTGTTCTTCTGGGCTCTCTCGATTACCAACCGGCGCCCTGCCTGGTAAGTTTTGTTGAGAAAGCTCTGAGCAATGGGACGGCCACCGCAAAGCGCGTCTGCAGAGTCCCGGCCGCTTCCGTCTCCGCCAACTTCTTGGGCGTCGATGAGTGCAGTGGTGTCCACAGCAATTACCTCAACCTTCGGGTCGGCGTCGCTGGGGATTGCATAGTGGTAGTTGTAGTCTGGAAGCCAGTATAACCTTGCGAAATGCAAAGTCCGCCGACCCTGTCCGAATGGATAAGCTCATATGTTAGGAAATCCAAGCCACTCTGTGCCGAAAGGGCGAGTTGGATTCCGGTCCTGGTTCAGCTGGTAGCTTGAGTAAGCCTGACCAAGTGACGTCTTGCCACTTAGATCATGTTCACGTCTGTGTCATGCCATGCCCACTGCCACAACATCATGCCCCTTGCAGGCGCCTGTCCGTTGATGATCTTCCTCCGGTATGACTCGTCTTTGTGGGGGCAGAAAGCATAAGGGTCGTGATTGCCATAGTCGTGATTTCCGTACCTTTGACACCAGGCCACTCGCTGCTGACTTACCATGTATTGTCAGGTGCTGTTACCCATGTGCCAGTCACATGTCCTCAAGCGCGTGGAACATCCCGGAAAAAATATGGAAATAAACCTTCAGGAGCAGAACCAACTCCCTTCCTCCTAGCCCATTGCAGCTGAGGTGCACAGAAAGCCACGGCACCTGATATACCGGCGAATTTGGGTCATTGACCCCATAGGGTTGAGACCAGACCTTTCAACACGCTGAAGCTGCTTACTAGCATTCTGTTTTGCTGGGTCTGAGGCAGGAATGGCAAGAGCAGTACTCCGGCATCGCCGACCCTAGGAGCTCTAGCTTAGGTCAAGGAAAGTCAAGTGATAACCAGGTATAATAAAGTACAATACTCACCAATTATAGATAACCGTAGCATTTTGCAACATGCCTACCTAGGCTCTTGCAGGCAGGGGTCAAATTCCCATGCCTCGGGGGTTGCCCCTGTCCAGTAAAAGTTGTCTCCCACGGACGCGACAAACAGCAGTGTTTTCGACTCATTGGCCTGTCAACTCACGCTTGACTCTGATTTGCTAAGACATGTTGCATGGCATTCGAAGCTGGCCCTCTCTGATCACGACGTTGCGGGGTTAGTCACAATGTAGGAAGTTGCAACAGTTACGTACGTGATATGGTAGTTTCACAAAATTGTGTGACCCCCCCCCCCCATCTAGACCCCAAAATACTACAGTCGTTATTTGGGGACCGCCAATATGGTACCCATAATTTTAGGAAACCCGCATTTCTCTGCAAGTGCCCTCGTCGAACCTGCTTCTCAGCATAGGCCCGCAAGTGGGCAGCCACAGCCTCAACGCAACACACTCAATGTCTTGCGATGCGAAAGCTCCACTCAATCGTTTCCCAAACTGAAGGGGACCCCAATATAGGCCCCCAAATACCATAGTCCTTATTATGGGGATCCCCCAATAAGGTTCCTCTAAGGAGGCAAGGCTGCGCCTTCTGGCAGCTGCCAGGACCACCAGCCTTGCCCCAGTCTCCGAGGATTAGGAAGTAGTTGCCGCCATCCAAGCTCATCTGCAGGAATGAGCTAAACAAATTCCAAAGTTGTTGCTCTTGATGTCTGCGTTGAAAGCAGCAAAGAACACAACCCTTTCCCCACTTTGTGTTTTAGCACACCTTCCAAGGCCAGCTATAGCTGCTAAAGAACTCAGAGCTGCTGGCTTCCCTGAACAACACGGGGTCTGCATGGGAGCAAGGTGCTGGCGTTGATAGTAGGACCATTGTTTGGGGATCTGAGCTGTTTTGCTACCATGGCAAGATCATTCTGTGGATATTTCTTGTAAACACTCTTCGGGCGGTTCACACAATGGTCGTTCTGGATATCTTCAGAAAGTATTTGAGTACGGCAGGGCCTTCACGCCCAAAGGGTTGTCTGAATCATAGTTGTTGTGGTATGTTTCAGCAGCTGGAAAAGGACCAGGAGGTATTGTAGTGGTTGCAGGGAGGGTGGATGAATCATGCACGTCGTTGTGCCAGTTGCTGGGCAGAGCTGCGTCAAAGCCAGGCCCATCCCCAAAGCCATCCGAATCCCCATCTATTCCATCCAAACTGCCCGTGTCTGGTGCTTCATCCGGAATACCTTCGCCATCTCCGTCTGAATCTGTCGAAGAGTCACCCACTTCTACCCAGTCATGTTCAACAACTGTACCTGGTGTCTCGTTGTTTAAGTTTGTATCAAGCCAGTCGCCCTCGAAAACTGGTCGGCTGGACGTTGAGGTATCTACATGCTCGATGACCGTATCTGCTGTCTTGTCGTCCCAGTTTACGTCCAGCCAGTCACCCCGGAAGTCTGCTCGGCCTGACCTTGAGGTATCCACATGTTCGATGATTGTACCTGGCGGTGTCTTGTCGTCCCAGTTTGCGTCCAGCCAGTCACCCCTCCTGAAGTCTGGTTGGCTTGACGTTGAGGTGTCCCCTTCGCCATCCTCCAGCCAACCTGCTCGATAGGCGGACTGTCGCGCAGCAAATGCAGCGTCGCCATGAGTTTTCGTTGCTGCAGGCGGGTGCGAAAATGTTGAATCTTGAGCAAAGAACCCGTTCTCACGCTCGGCTTGCTCGCTCTGACCATGGAGACGCTCATCGTCATAGGTTCTGCTGTGCCAAAGTGCCTGAAAAACGTTCGCCGTGGGCCTTAGTACCTGTTGATGGACTGAAGGTATGGGCAGGCAACAGGCTGCTGCCACCAGTGCCAATGTAACGGCAATTGCCATGTAAACCTCACGCCATCTCGATGATGTAGGTCGCCCCTCACCTGTCTCCATCTGCAAGAGGAGCTGCGTCTCCTCTGCCTGTGTGAATATAACTCTCATGTGTTCAAAAATCAGGCATGCAAGGCCCATGCGTCCAAAACGCAAACTTGCACACCCCTGATCATTCCAATGCAGCACCCGTCCCAAGCACTCCAATTTCTTACATTCCGATTCCTTCACTTCTACATTTACTTGTTTTTTGGCCTGTGTCTTTGTTGAATAGCTAGGTGAGGCCACCTCGGTATTGTGAGCAAGCAACGGCATGGGCATGGCTCAAGCTACAGTGCGCAGGCAGACAGGAATCTACCGCGCAGCCAGGTGCTGAAGGTTCTCGTGGCTCGTTTGGTAGGTGCTCTGTATGGAACATGTGAAGTTGTTTGACCCCATTGAACACTTAGACTATCTAAAGCTCTGCATGCATGTCCCTGGCTGCGAGCCATTCGCAACAGCAATCGGCCGCCTCCCAGACATGTGAACAAAACGCAGCATGAGCTGATGTTGCGCTTGCGCTGCAAAATGGAACCTGAGGACACCACGAAAGGGCCTAAACGCGGATCCACAAAAGTCTCGCCTGCCGGTCAGTTTGATCAGACAATAATCTTTCATCCCAGCTCCCATATCATTTTCCATTTGGTTCTCTCCACTACTCTGTTGAGACTTCATTAAACAGGCCCAACCTAAGCAGGGCAAGCGAACACAGCCAGATCGAACGTCAGAAAACTGCCAAAAAAACTGCTTCTGGAGGGTGAATGGCTTGTTGTCCTGCTGCTGCTATCTGTTCCACAAACTTCTACAGCTTGACTCAGTGTCAGAACTAATGCACCGTTGCCTGCCTAAGACCGACATCTCCTGTTCAGCGGAGACCACCAGCCTTCGAAGCAAGAGATTGACTGTGGCTGCGTGCAGCGCCAGCGCCCCTGTGCAAACGACCTTCCCGTGCCTACAGCGACATGCTAGCATTAACAGCTGAAGATGCTTTGGCTGGGCGTGCCCGTGTAGTGCAGCGCGTGGGAGTGTGTAGTAGGCCAGAAGTGCCTGCACAAGTCTGCTCAGCTGGGAATCTAAATCAGCCGCGCATATCCGCCATCTACTACAAAGAGATCTGGCGCTTGGGCACTCCAGACTGGGTACAATTTGGCAGGTGCTTCGCTTCTTCTTGCAAGCGTAGCAGCCGGAATTGTGTTTCCAGAGCACCCTGCTTTGCAAAGCCATAACTTCATGGGTTCAAGTAGTACCCCCCTCTATACTACCCCCCTAGGTTCCCCCCTTAATTAAATTTAGGGATATTTAAGCTTAATTAAGGTTAATTAAGGGGGGAACCTAGGAGGGTAGTATAGAGGGGGGTACTACTTGAACCCATGATAACTCTAGCTCTTTGCCTGGTGCAAGGTGCCCGTGCCTCCTGATCGCCTGGCCGCAGGCTGCCCGGTGCCACTGTAAGCAAAGCCTTCTTGGCCTTTCAGAGATGGGGTTTTCCAAGCTTTGGGGGCCACTTCTTGTTCGCACTATCATATTATTCGGTTCTAAGAGGGGTGCCCCAGTTTCCGGAAACTAGCAGATTGCAACTTACATACTTTTATTCCATGTCTTGCTACGACTATCTTTCTTGGCATCATTACTGCTATATGCAGCTATTATTCTGTTGCAGCTGCATTGCCACAGAGCGTCTTTCAGCCGAGGCTTTCTCAAGCAATCTCGTAAACCCTAAATGGGGGTTTCCCAAAATTAGGGGTACCATTTTGAGGGTCCCAATAATAAGGAGTATAATATATTGGGGTGTATATTGAGGTCCCCTTATTTTGGGAAACTACCAAATCCACCCCATTAATGCTGTATATTCATAAAAGGATAATGGATTTTGCCACTTGCATGGCCGAAGCAGCGCAAAGGCCCCTTAGATCCTATTGTATCCCTATGTATTCCTAGTTTCCATCTCATTGTCCTTTGTCTTTTCTGTTTTGATGCTCCATTGACACTGTTCTTTTTCTTAAGATGCCCTGAAACCTCAACCCTATATCCAATCCAAATCCTAGTCAACGCAAGCCAGGCCTCAGGTACAAACTGAAGGTCCATTCCTAGGCAATATCAACAAACTTACTGGGGGTTATTAGGGAATAAGGGAATATATAACCCCTGTACAACATATCCCTTATTCCCTACTAACCCCCAGTCAGGAAGTGAGCTCACGCCAAAACTCCTGCGGTCAAATGCCTATAGGAAGATTGGGAGGTGTCAGTGTTGGGTTTCCCTATCACTTTATGAGCGGCTTTTCCAACCATGCACCGTTGCCGCCCCATGAGGCGAAGATTATCGGCAAGAGAGTCCGAATTCGTCAGGAAGAATCTGAGCAGACGAGCCACCATTTGTCTGGCTTGACTCTCTCGTTCGTCAATGTTGCGCCGCACGTCTTAGCGTGATGTTGCGGCCTCGCGAGTGGAGCACCAGTCCAGGACGATCGGGGGCTTGAGGATCAACAAATAGGTCTTGCTTGCACATGCCCGCGGCAACGGAAGGCTCGCCTTCCAGCGCAAGAATGACGACCCGCCGTCCAAGATGTTTTGGACAGCTTTGTCCCTCCCCCTAAGTAGCCTAAGCATGAGAGCTTCCGACTCCACCCGATTTCGGGCCTTTCCTGCCCTCTTCTTTTGCAGCTCAAACTATGAGGCCGTGGCCTTGTTCGGCTAATATCAAAAGGTGTTCTTGCGGAGTGGGGGCTGACGGGAGCTCCACTCACGGCCGCTGTGCCCAAGCTTGAGCCTTCTTCAGATAACCATCTTTTCCAGACTGTTGTGGCAGAAATGCTCCTTTCTGCAGAGCGCATGGCAACCAACTGCAGGTGCAAACAACTCTGAGGCATGCACTGGTGAAGTAGACCTTTGTGGGATTCTGACAGCATCGAACAACACTACAAGTCTTGAGTGCGTACTGGCTTGCTCATGATTGAGCAACAGCGCAAGCGCTCGCTCAGCCGCTAAGTCACTGGCACCTGCTCTTGTGAGGAGCTTGTTCAGCTTGCGAACTGCCAAGCGCTGCTCTTCCTCAGTTCATCCGAAGCACTAAGGCTGCAGCAGCCAGTGACAGGACTGGTGCTATGCCTTAGGCGATGCCAGTCCATAGCTAACAACACGCCACAAACGCAACATTCTCCTCATTCACAAACAAACAGGGGAGCACGTCATGCACATCCCTTATGGTTGGCACCATTGGTCTCAGCCGAAAGTCGCTGGTGATGTTTTGGCCTTCGATGCTGGCGTGGTGCTGGGCTCCATCTATGTCGAGCCACACCGACATGGCTCAGGTTCAAATGGGTATTTCTCAAGATTACGGTCCACCCAGTGACCTGACACCGTCCGATGGTGCCCAGAACGGGGTGCAAGTAGGGTTGGTATATACTACGGATGGGTACTTGCATCTAATGAAATGAGTTTTAGATATGTTTAGACCATGCAGCAAATGTTTCGCACAGCATGTCATTCACCTCACGCTTGACGACCTCTACGTCAGATAGCTCAGCCAAATGAGGTTTGATGTAGCAAAGCTTTCCGCGTGAGGCTTTCTGGGCAGTTGAATAGCACTATGCCATGCGGCCGTCTTTTGATTCCCCAGCAGAAATGCGATGAAAGTAATCTTTCGGTGGTAGTCATGCGGGGCCTTGTCTTCAAGAAAGGAGTTCTACTTTAGTTCTGTCCTCTCTCGCAGCCTGTGGGCCAGGTTTGCAAGAGCGCGATGTAACTCGGTTAGTGTTCATAAGAGATTGCAATAGGACATCGATGCTCGAGGGCTTTCGTTCAGAATCGAAACGTACAAGAGCTCGACTGCTTGTTAAATACTCGATCGAAGAAATGGCCAGTTCCGCGTAAAGTGTTTGCTTTATCCACGGTTGCGTGTCGGGGGCTCATGACGCCAGGACAGTGAGAGGGATAGATGGGGAACGTCACGTAAGGAATCGATGCGTGACGTCCAGAACCAGACTGCGCAAGGTTGCCGCCTGACAAACCAGCTTGCAATTCAACGCCCAAACTGTTGCCAAGTATTGCAATGCAAGTTGAGATAAGCATTATCAAGCCCAAAGCACAGCCAGCAGCTGTACTAATTAGAGATTTTTCACGCAACAGTCGAGGCTTTAGCAATTGTATAGATGGGTCCTGCTCTGGAAGCCAGTGTCTTGCAGGGGCATTACTTTCCAAACCCACCAGAGCCTACATGGACATCGCTTACAGTCTGCGAAGTCTGTTTTCCTGTGGGCGCGACCCTCCGCCATAGAGTACCTTTCATTCACGTATTGACTTAGAGCTGGTTCACCCCAACAAAGCCTGCAAATGACAATCCTTTTTCACCAACATCTGGGTTGAGTAGCTGTCGGCGTGACCAAACCGCTTCGAAAATGTGATTGAGACATCACAAGCAGTCTTGAACCACGTCTGGGCATCTGTACCGCAGTGTACTACATTCACGCTCGTGCTTGCTTGGGCCGTTCCAGCCCGAAAATCTATCGAAAATCACCTCTTTCCCAGAACTAGACGATGTAAAAGCGTAAAAGCATGACCCTTCAGGTTCCG